TACATAAATCCAAACGCTGAAATCTTCAATTGCCAGAAATTGAAATGACGGAAATCTAAATTCTGTCATTTTAGAATTCTATGTAATTTGCAATTTCTTCATCCAAATGGAGCATTATTTTCTTGCTTACCAGACTCAGATTGTGTGGCCTGCTAAGTTTGTGATTTCCCCATCAACCCAATTAATGTTTCAACAAAATAGTCTCTTCAAGAAGTCTTTTTAAGTAATATATTAGAATTTTTAATATCAGAAATGGAGAGCTTCAAAGCTCCATTCAGGGGAATTGCAAAAGATGTCAAAGGAAGAGCATTGTGCTATAAACAAGATTGGACTGCAGGTTTTCGTTCAGGAATCGGGTAACTAATTTCCTATGTATTTTACTTGGCACAATTGCAATCAAAGGTTTTGGATCTAATTCACTCTTTTTTATCCTTTTTGTCTTTGAATTGTGATAGGATTTTGGCCCCAACTGCCTACATCTTCTTTGCTTCAGCTCTTCCTGTTATAGCTTTTGGCGAGCAACTGAGCAGAGACACAGGTTTGTCAATATTTCTCATATGATGTGTAGATAGCATAAGTCCTACCTCCTATGGCATATATCTTACTGAAAAGAACAAAGTCTGAGTTGGAGCACAATGAACTGGATGCTCCTATTGTTCATCATTTATGTATGTCACTGACCATATGTCAACATGCATAATACAGACATACACATTTGATGGTTTTCAACTCACTTGGCTTTTTATTGTGTAGATGGAAGCTTGAGCACAGTGGAAACCCTGGCCTCTACTGCTATTTGTGGTATAATACACTCAATTCTAGGTGGGCAACCTCTCTTGATTTTAGGAGTTGCAGAACCCACTGTCATCATGTACACCTACTTGTACGACTTTGCGAAAGGAAGGGAAGATTTGGGACGCGAGCTGTATTTGGCTTGGGTTGGATGGTAATGGAAAAATCAACCTTATATAGTTTCGGAACTTTAAGTTACATGTTCTTAGTCATAACGCAAGACGATATAAATTTTCACCTTATGGAGCTGAATTTTACAGGGTTTGCGTCTGGACAGCTTTCTTTCTAGTTCTTCTTGCAATATTCAATGCTTGTGATATAATCAACAAGTTCACGAGGATTGCAGGCGAACTTTTTGGCATGTTGATTTCTGTCTTGTTTATTCAAGAGGCTATCAAGGTAAGTCTCACATAGAACATAAGATCATTTTGGATCTAATACAGCTGATGGAAAGAAAACTAACATGAGGTTCACGTTTCAATGGAAGGGTATAGTGAGTGAGTTCAAAATTCCCAAAGGTGAAGATTCAAAGAAAGAGACACATCAATTTCAGTGGCTTTACACAAATGGACTGCTGGGGGTCATATTTACTTTTGGCCTCCTATATACTGCTCTGAAGAGCAGAAAAGCAAGGTCATGGTGGTATACAACAGGTTTGTTAAGAACATTTTGAGAGACTTGGTTCTTATTTTAAGGATTAAATTTTTTTTTTGGGGGGGAATTTGAAGATATTTTCTTTGTTGTCCAGGGTGGCTCAGAAGTTTCATTGCAGATTATGGTGTTCCTTTAATGGTGCTACTGTGGACTGCGCTGTCATTCAGTGTACCACGCAATGTTCCCTCAGATATTCCTAGAAGGCTGTATAGCCCTCTGGCTTGGGAGTCTGCATCTTTACACCATTGGACTGTCATGAAGGTAAACTAATATTTTGTAATTTTGTTGTTTAAGCTCTTTGTTTACCTGAGCTTTCGACCTAAGACTTAATGTAGTAATCAAGTCTTTGCAGTTGTTTTTGTAATTGCTTGCAGTTTAAAGTATTTTCTTTCATTTTCTGTTGAAGGATATGGGGAAGGTTCCGACTGCATACGTCTTTGCTGCTATTATACCTGCTGTGATGGTAGCGGGACTTTACTTTTTTGACCATAGTGTCGCTTCACAGCTGGCACAACAACAGGAGTTCAATCTAAAGAAGCCTTCTGCGTACCATTATGATATGTTGTTGCTGGGACTTATGGTATGTGTCACACCATATTAAGATCAATGAAGATTTGTTTCTGTCACATTCAAGCAAGAATTAACACTTTTTCTCTTTCATGAAAAATTGGTCCCAGACACTGCTTTGTGGATTGATTGGGCTTCCTCCTTCTAACGGGGTCCTGCCACAGTCAACAATGCACACTAAGAGCCTTGCTGTTCTTAAGAGGCAGGTGAGTGTAGTGAATGAATGTCAATGAAAATTCTCAACTTTCTTGCTAGCCATCCAGCTAAATCAAATACTTAATTCATCTAATCTATATGCAGTTGATTCGAAAGAAAATGGTGAAGAGTGCTAAGGAAAGCATAAAACAGAAAGCTAGCAACTCTGAAATCTATGGAAAAATGCAATCTGTTTTCATAGAGATGGACAACTCGACTACAGTAAATTTCTCAATTTGAACATGCTTTTTATTGATATTCTCCAACAATTTAGCATTACATTGGCAATTGATATCTATCTATAGAGGCATGCGTATTCACTTCACACCTCCCTTAATTCTATGAAAATTAAAGAACTTTGAGTTTAACTGGTAATGTTAGTTGGGGAAACAAAAAGAGAGAAGAAAGATCTCCTTTCAAGTACTTCCTGAGACCTGAATGGTTTCTATCGCAGCCTACATCACAAGTTAAAGAGCTGGAAGATTTGAAGGAGGCAGTAATGAAAAGTGAAAATAAAGGGGATAATGCAAAGGATGAATTTGATCCTGAGAAGCTAATTGATGATTACCTGCCTGTCCGAGTTAAAGAGCAGAGAGTGAGCAATCTGTTACAGTCTCTTCTTGTGGCAGCATCTGTTTTTGCTATGCCAGCCATCAATAAGATACCAAAATCAGTTCTGTGGGGATACTTTACTTACATGGCCATTGACAGTCTTCCAGGGAACCAATTCTGGGAAAGGCTGTTACTTCTCTTCATCACCCCTAGCCGGCGGTACAAGTAAGTAAATCTTCATCTTTAGTAAGCAGCATGATGGTCCATTGACATTTTGGATCACAGTTTAGACACAATATTAACATTTATTATTTCAGCATATGAGAACAAAACTCTTCTTTTGTAAGGGAACTTGGAGTCAATGAGTGAAATTAAATCCAGAAACATTTGGACCTTAAAAGGGGTGGAGTTTACATTCATAAGTTGCCCACTAGGCCCTATGTTTAACAAAATGAACATACTGAATGTTTCAGGATTTCCTAACTCTTTAC